GCGTGTCGCCTTTTCTAACGAATTATGATGAATATTAAGAGTATGTTGTATGTAGTATGTTCTTAAGATAGTGAGTAAGCTTAACAATAAAAAATTTCTTAGTCTTTTTTAAATTTAAGATACTACGTTGTTTATATGAATGACTCTTTCGGTTGCTATCATAAAATAAAGTATGTATTTCATTTCAAATTTGACCGTTTCGATTTCGACTCAAGAAGGTGATTGTACAAAATGAATGTTTCTTTTAATAAAATTTGTCATCATCCATATCCAAGGACATTTTCTTCCTCGGTCTTTTCCCCCTCCTTGTATACATGGATATCATATCGCACCGGAGGTGCTCGCACTGTCACTTATGCAAAAAAAAACATTTCAGGAGAAGCGTTTAAAACGTTAACATCCCAAAACATACAATATTTAAAGTTTTTTTATATTTTTTTTTAAGATGAATAGCTAAGCTGTATAAGCTTTTCATCACGTAAAAATCTTTAAATATTGTATGTTTTGGGATATTAAAGTTTTAAACGCTCATCCTGAAAAAAAATATTTTTGCATAAGTGACAGTGTCGATATGTTATATGTTATGCGATATGTTCTATTGATGGTTTAGACGACACTGACAATTTATACATATAACCAGATGGTTTAAATAATAGCGAACGCAAGCAACGCATTCCTTCTTCTCATAAAAATCCGCAAGCAATTGATTTCGACTGGCACTGAGCCTAAAGCTATATATTAACATAGGCATGCGCCATTGCATGCCTATGTTAGCCTTAGATGATTAATTTCGTTTCTCAACATAAATCTATACAAAAAAATCTCTGGAAAATTGTGTGAATAAAAATTGTGTGCGCCAAAAACTAATCCGGACTTATAGTAAGTGCTACTGGAATCAGGCTGATTATCTTTCCTGTGTATAATGAAATATTCATTTTCATTTAAGCATTGAACTTCTAGTGTTTTACAATCATTTTCTTAGCATATACTACGGGTGGTCACAGAGGGAGGGCCGAGTGTAAAAAAACCTAAATAGAGGGGTCACGTAGTTTGGGTACGTTCCCTTTTAGTAAAGTTGTATCGACAGTTACATTTTACATCTCAATGGTGGCGTTTGTTTTTATTTTTCAAACTGTGACATTATTGTTTCACTCCTTCTACTAGGAAATTAAGTTGAACACGTCCCATTCTAATAACTAACTATTCCAAACTAATAATTGTTCGTGTTAGCCACTAGCTTTTATTAAACTAGTGTTTTTTGTGGTGAAGAAACCTTTTGTCTAGACTTTCCTAAGAAAACATAGAAACCTCATTACAAAGAAAATAGAATGAATGGGCTTAATGACAGCAACTTTATAATGTGGCTGAAATGTGATCCAAATGACGATGCGAAATTTCTTGCCGGCAGAGTTACGATAAAGAGTAATGGTGAAGTAAATCACACATTAATCACAACATTTACAAAAAAACAAAAATTTTAACGACTTTTCAGCCGTCTATTACTGCAGTAATAAAACGTCAATTGGTGAAAACAAAGGGGGAAAAACAGAAAATAATTATATATCAATGCAGATTATATCCCTGACTTAAGTCATAATCAACTGAGACAATAAACATTTTTGTGGTGCTAAATACGAAGTCAATAAGACTCTCATAATGGCTAGTGAAGTAAGTTGGTTGAGTAATATGATAATAGTGTTCTTAATTTGAGTACTGAAAAAAATACTTTAATTTTTAGCATTCGGGTCATCGGAAGCAAGCAGATTAATATTGAAATCCCCCTCCCCACTAAGACAATATGATCAAATTTACAAAACATGCTAACTGACTGTGTAAGCGCATCAATAAAATTGACCACACTCAACCACGGTGGCCGATATGCCGTTCCAATGACGAGTTTGAAACCGTTAAGTGTGATGCTTATCCACATTTGCTCCACTAAGCTATCTATTGTGTAAGGATTTTTATTGGCATCAGCCAGAATGTGAGTCGCGTCTGGTGGTCCCATCCTTTGGATGTTGCGACCCTCTGCCAGATTATGTAGGTTGCGGCCCTGCGGATTGGTAGTGGCTGATCCCCACGCACTGTTCTTTCAGTTCAGATCGCCTGCCAACAGTGTGGGCGCATCGTCAGAGAAGATCGCGTTCAGGTTGCTCGCGTGGATTTGTGTCTTTGGAGGTTTTTAGGCGGCGTAAATTTTTATTTTTGTGTTACCAGCCTTGGTTTGAACTCCGATAGTTCGGGTGGATGTATATGGGGCCGATGGGAGTTCATCGTGAATGATGTCTCTTCTGACCAAGGCTGCCGTGCCTCTGTAGGGAATCACATCAGGGGTTAACTCGTCGCGGCGGTATGTGGAGTAATTGGGCAATTTAAACTTGTCTTTAGAGGTCAGAAGGGTTTCTCCCAGGAGAAACATGTGGACGGCCTGCTGTGTGGAGATGAGGCGGAGCTCGTCCATGTGACTTCTTATTCCTCCTGGGTTCCAATAAACTATTCTAAGTTGTTTGTGTTGGCGGCCCCCTGGAGCAGCCAGGTCAAGGCCCTCAAGATTGCCTGGGTGGGGTCCACTCCCTTGCTGATGACCTCCAGTAGGCGGTAGAGGATGGAAAGCACCGCCTGCATTGGGGAGCTGTGAGAGGGGTGGTTTGGGGTGAAATTGGGGTCGTGCCCTATGGGGAGGAATAGTGGTTGTAGTTTCGTGTGGCCTCTGTTGCGATGGGGGCGGGGGAGGGTGGAATGCCGGTCTGGAAGCCGGCCTGGTGTGTTGGACCTCCTCGGGTTGTCGGGGCGGAAGTTGGGCTTTAGGACCTTTGGGCCGTAATGCCGGATAGTGGGTATCCGACGAGGGGGAGGGGGAGGCCCCGTCCATTGGGTAGCAGCCTTCACTGGGCGGAATGATGCTGCTGGAGCGGTGGTGGACTGTGGGTTCCCAATTGGGGAAAACCTGGCAGGGCAATTGGGGCTGCCGATTGTCGCCTCCTTCTTCCTCTTCGTGTTCTCCTTCTGTAAGTGACAGGCACTCTAGTGGTGGGCGGATTAGCGGGGGCGGCCAGTGTTGGTCCAGCTTGGGATTCTAGTAGGTTAACTGGTGTGGGTTAGTGCGGATCTCTGGGTATGGTTATGGTCTGGTGATGTTGTTGGGGCACACCTCCTAGTATGGGGGGTTGAACACGGTGATTTGGGCAGCGCGCTGTTTGAATGAATAGTTTGCACCGCCTATCATTAGCGGTGTGGCTTTTGCCAGGCTATCTCTGGGTTTTCGTTGGAGACCTTTATTAGGTAACTTTGAGTGGCCCTAAATTCGTCTTCACTTATGTGGGTGAAGCGCGCGCCTATGTCAAAGGGACGCGCGTTTGGTGTGTGTCGAAGTATATCCTTGAGCTTTTTGAAGTTACTTGCCTTGTTATCGAGGTGTTGCGCTGGAATAGGGCTGCTGAGCCCTTCGATCCCACCGGCGAACTCGAGCTCCGAGTCTGACTCGAACTCGAAGTCCGCAAAAGTGGTAGAGGGGGAAGCTGGTCGCCTTTGTACGGGCGGGACATAGGCCCCACTGGTGCTGGCGGTAGCGGGCGCGACGGCTCGCTGCGGTGGCGATGGGCCATGCTTGGGGCGTTTCTCGTCGCCTTCAGCGGCCTCATCGTCGTCAGGTTGGCGTCGCCGTGGGTCTCGGGGTTGACCGGTGACCGGAGCGGAGCAGGGTCGGTACTGGTCACCCACACCTTCCATACTAGCCGGGGCGGTGTTCGGCTTCGGCGTGTTCGTTTCCAGCCTAGGGGGCTGGCGAGCGGGGGATGGCGCTATTTGCGCTAATCGGGGGGCGGGCGCGGCTAAAGCCGCAGCCCTGCCAGTGGCAGGACGTAGCTTAGGGTCCGGAGGCTTCTGTTGTGGAAGCGGTTTTGGTTGGATTTTCAAAAATGCTCACAAAGTCCGATGGGGGTAGGTGAAAAAAAAAGACAGATAATAGTAGGGTAAATGTAGGTATGAAGGACAAAAACACTAAGGGGAAACACTTGTGGTTTTTACTCACTAAAAATACAAGTGATTCGACGATCACTTAATCACAAACACAACACACACACACACAGAGAGAAGCGTTAATTTCGCAGAATATCGTTGGCAATACGGTGATCGAAGAATCTGACGCGCGAACGCGGAGGTGGGTAGACGTAGTCTTCACTCAGCACTAGGGGGGTAGGCGGGCTCAACAACGAGCGGAGTCACGCGACCTATCAGGACGGCGACGCGAGGAAAACTACGTACTCATGAGACTAATTGGGAAGCTTTAATAGAGCTCAGAGCATAAAATCTCAAAAAAAATATACATATGAGATAAAATCGTTTGCTTTCGGACAGGATTTCATCGAATTTTTTCCTTCACTGCTTTAATCGCCCAATGGACATGATTCTTAGGAAAAACACTACGTGGGTGGGCAGAATTTTCTTTGTTCCAAACAGAAGAGGTTTAATTATACCTATCAATAGCCTGGTACACATCATTGGACTCATACCCAGTGAATGGAGACTACAAAATCACCTCCATATTAATATCACAAACATGTTTTAAGACTGATTAGCGCAAGGTCTGAAAAAATAATGAATATTCATAAAAGAATGACCGTTTCCAAATTCTTAGTAATTTTATGTTGTTTTTGTTGTAACAATATTTATGGTCCGACTAAAAGTACTAATTTAGTACTGACTAATTTTGCAAGCCTCGATATAAGTATTTTTTTCCATTAAGTGTGTGTCTGCCAAATAAATGATACAACCTTTTAAAAATAAAATAGAAAATTTGTTACTTTTTCTGGCCTTATATCAGAGATTCATATATTTACATAAATCTTTGTTTTACAATATGTATTATTTTTATGAAAGTAAAAAACGCCGTTGGCATTACAGGTAATTGCACCTAACATGCTTCAAGTATTCTCAGCTCTTTAATGAATTTATTTTGTTGTTAATTTAGAAAATCTAGCTGTTCCTTGAAGTGTACTTACCTCTTCCAAAGGTACGATTCCTTCTTCTAATTTGCCGTCGTCCAGCATACGGATTGGAATATGAGCATCGGTATTTAAAAGTTTTTTGTTAATTGTGGATTCTTGGTTTTTGGCCATGTTTTGTGAGTTTAAACCAGAAGGACCCGGAATGGGTCCCGGTGTATTGGAAAGCGTGAACACCTTTCCATGACGATATCTGAAATAGGAAGAATAGCGTTACATGGAGAAATTAATTATATTATAAGTATTAAATATTCATAACTAGCTTCCGCGTTATAATTAGTTTTTTGATAATACCACAGGATCTAACATTTTCCGGGATAAAAGTATTATACACCTATTGCTCTTATACCAGTCATGTCAAAAATGTTTGAAAAAGTCATTTGTGATTGTATTTATAGTTACTTTGAAAAATACAATAAGTACTAGCAAACGAGCAGACAGGGTTCCAAAAGAATAAAAATATTATAAACATGGCTATACATAGGTTTGTTAATGAAATAATGACTAAAGTTGACAAAAACATTTCTGTGTGCGCATTATACACGGACCTAACAAAAGCCTTTGATTACGTTGATCATAATATTTATCAAATAATGATCATAACATTTATTAATGTTCTACTTAAGCAATAGAGAACAAGCAACTATTATTACGAGAATATGCTCTAAATCAAAGCACGAGGTTAAATATATTATGTAAAATTATAGACAGGTACATTATGGTGTACCTCCAGGCAGTGTTCTTGGGTATCCACTATTCTTAGCATATATTTACGACTTCCCCACAGTAGTAGCTTCACCAATGATACTGTTTGCTGATGACAGCACTGTAATTTTTTCAAATAAAAGATTATCCCTATTACAAACTGACATAACTATGACACTTGACAAAATTGTAGACTGGTTTAACAAAATATATTAATTAATATACACAAAACTCATGTTATTACATTTTGAAATAGACCTAGAAATCCCGTATCAATGTGCATTCGAGTTAAGAAATATTGCTAAGCTGGAAAATGAAAATCTAAATCAGATCATAGAAGGTATGTTTTCGACTATAGATATCAATGTACCTCCTGAGTGTATGCAACAAATTTATCGCAGAGGAAAGGGAAATGCTCCTATTGTTGTGGAATTCAGCAATACTGACAAAAAGTATGCTATACTCAAAGCAGTTCATGAATATAACAAAGTACATAAAGATAAAAAGCTGAACTCTGACTGCTTGGACCTGGGTTTACCAACTGCTCCTATATATGTATCGGAACAACTGACATCAAAGTCCAAAGCCTTAATGATAACAGCAAAAGATCTTGTAAAGAATGGCAACTTCAAATTCTGCTGGGTTCAAAATGGTAGTGTCATGCTGCGCAAGAATGAAAATGAAGCACCTATCCGGGTAATTGCTTTGAGTCAATTGCAGGAACTGCAGCTACCGGAAACCCTGAATTGACTAGACATGGTTAATACGAATACTTTCCTTCCTTATAAAAAAGATTTTTACTTTATACTTTGCATAAATAATGATTTACTGTTTCCTTATTATTGTGTCATTGTGTTGCGCTTATATTATCATCGCCCTTCCTTTTGCTCAGACCTTCTGGAATATTAATTTCTATGTATATTATATAAACATAACTTATAACGTTATCTCATCTATTATTATGCAAATTTACAACATCATAGATGCCCTATTATGTATATCATTTCCTCAACTATCTGTCGGGTACAAAATCAGCTGGAAAGGTTTTTCATTTACCAAATCATTAGTTATAATCTAATGAATGATGATATTCGTAGTGTAGTGATGATGATGTCGGCACCTCATTTCAACTGGATGATTTTGCCGACTGTGATAGAGTGCTGGGAAATGTCAATAATTACTATAATATAATTGTTCAAAATATTAGAAGTATTGATCGTAACTTTAATGATTTCTCTGTTCTCCTTTCAAGCTTAAAAATCAGATACGATTTTGTTGTCCTTACGGAATGTTGTCTCTTGCACCTGAATCAATTGCCTTATCTGAAAGGCTGTTCTTATTGCTCCTCAACCAATCATACAAATCAAAATAGTGGGGTCATGATATATGTACGCGATCATCTGGATGTACAGATATACGAACTTAATTTAGCTGATGCTAATTATATAGTGGTTGTAAAAAATAATGTGTTTGCTATGGTAGCAACAGACCACCTTCTCTCACACAGATCTCCTTCAGTTAGTAATGTAGACAATTTTCTACAATCCCTTGATATCGTCCTTAAAGATCTCAAATATATTAAAAATATACTTGTCACGGGAGATATTAATATTGATATTAAATGCGATAGTACAGATTCTAGGTCCTTCGAATATATGAATCTTCTCGCTACACATGGTATTTTACCGAGCCACATATTTCCAACTCGAGGGTTCAATTGCATCGACCATAGCTTTTTGAAAGTTGGTACTGTAGCTACTGTAGCTAAAACCATACTTTGCGACTCTAGTATAACTGATCATAGATCTGTCCTCATATCAATTAAAACCAACATTATTAATCAAAAAGTACCTAAAACAATTACTAAAATCGATTATACTAAAGTTCTAGAAAATTTTAAAACTACAAGCTGGCTTCAAATTACCGACTCCAAAGATCCCGAATTAGCCTCGCAATGTTTCATTAAAATACTCACAGTTCTGATTAAAACCTGCTCAATCGATATCAGTCTATCCAACCGTAATCGAAATATTAAGCCTTGGATTACTCCTGGGCTAATAAGGTGCATTCGGTGGAGAAACAAACTAAACATTAAATCAAAAAAGGACCCTAATAACCCTAACAACTTTTGCAACCGAATTTTAGCAAACCTAAAATGTCAATATGAAATATCAGAATTGAACAAATGCAATAAAAACAATAAACATACTTGGAAGGTCATTCTTCAAATCTGTAATTTGAACCCCAGTCGCGTGAATCCTGCATCTAATCTCTTATCTAATAAAAAATCGCCGGAGGAAGCAGTAAACTTCATAAATGATTCATTTGCTAATATTGGCAAAAATTTAGCCAAAAACATTCTAATTAAAATAAACAAGACAAAAAATTGTCTGGCTGCAGACTTTCATGAAAATGTTAATTATTCAAACTCCTTATAACTAACGCCTACTGATGAAAATGAAATTGATAAAATAGTAAAGTCTATGAAGAATACTCATTCCAGTGGCTGGGATGGAATATCCATGGCTTTTATAAAGAGGTACACATTTTATCTAGCTAAACCAATATCATACATTTGTAACTTATGCATCGATACTGGTATCTTTCCTAAATGTTTGAAATCTTCAGTCGTAATTCCTATTTACAAGTCTGGTAATAGAGACAGTGTCACTAATTTTAGACCAATTGCATTGCTCCCGTCGCTATCAAAAATTCTGGAAAACATTATTAACACGAGACTCAGTGATTTTCTTGAAAAGTACAACTTGTTCTCTTCTAATCATTATGGTTTCAGGAAAAAAGATTTCTACATCTGATGCAGTATTGGACTTAGTAAATGATGTCATTAATAAGTTAGACAATAAAAACAAGTGCCTAGCAGTGTTTTTAGATTTGGCCAAGGCGTTTGACACGGTCTCTATTCCTATTCTTGTTCGTAAGCTAGAACACGCTGGCATACGCGGCACTCCTCTAAAATTATTTCAGTCGTACCTTACGGAAAGAACCCAGACTGTCGAAATAGATGGTGTCCGTAGCGACTTGGTAAATATCGAATTTGGGTTTCCTCAAGGCTCTGTGCTGGGTTCTACGCTATTTCTGGTCTATATAAATGACTTGTGCAACCTTAAACTAGCAAACACCAGAATAATAACTTTTGCTGATGACACTGTACTTCTATTTGATTCACCTACATGGGAAGATGTTAGTATTGTATGTGAGAATGGTTTTCGAAAGGTGCTCAGATGGCTTGACTATAATTTACTTACTTTAAACGCAGATAAAACAAAATATGTGAATTTTCACATGAATCAATCAATCAAGCGTTTGATTGAACCCTCCACCGAACATGAAAATAAAATTGCACCAGTGCAATAAGAGATTGATGGCGGATTCGTGTGATTGTGCTTCTCTTGAATGTGTCAACTCTGTTAAATATTTAGGCATTACCTTAGACCAGAATATCGGAACGGAAGCTAATATGCATATTTAGAGGGTTAAGGCATATAAATGACATCCCTACCATCAAGTGTGTACATTACGCACTTTGTCAGTCTATACTCACTTATGGAATGGTTGCTTGGGGTGGTGCTTGCAAAAGTTACCTGATATAAATGAACGCGCTAAAAGGGCAATCATTAAAGTGGCAATCTTCAAGCCCTATCGCTATCCGACTAAATCACTGTATAAGGAATTTATGGTTTTGACGGTACGTCAACTGTATATATTCAATACCATCATCAGGCAGCATAAAGTACCCCCTCCACCGATTATTTCAGCGAAGCGTAAACACACTGTCTTTAAGGTGTACCCTACCCTACCCTACTTTAGAACAAGTTTTGCCAAGAGATCGTATAGTTATCTTGGACTATATAGAATAAGTGTATATGTAATAAGTTTTGTAAAATGTTTGAAAATATACGTAATTTTACATATTCATATTGTAAAAAAATAATAAAGAGTCAACTTCTGCTACTTGACTATGAGGGAACAGAACATCTACTTAAAATTTGAGATAAATTAAAAATATATGGGTATCATACTGCTTAAGTATAGTGAACAATTTTAATTTAGGTAGTAGCTATTTATTTATTGGACTATAATATATCAAATATGTTTACTATTAAATATACTTTTATATAACCAAATTATACAAAAATATTCTTGTATATTCAAAATATAATAAAAAAAAATATTTACAATATAAACTATTGAATTATATATATGCATAGGTCTGGCTGGGAAGGAAATGAGAAATGTCTTAGTTTGTATTTTTTATGTAATTAAGTGTTCCAAAAAAAAATAAGAAATTGTTTTAATATAATTTATAAGTGCATCCATCA